AAGCCCACTCACTGTAGTGGACTGGCTCGATTGTTACGGCTGATTGCAATCTCCTTACCTCGTCTCCCACCTTTGATCTTAGGGAATAAGATATGTTACGGGCCCTGAAGAAGCGGGGCTGAGTTCCCTGTAGTTATTTGATACGAGCTTGACATCCGTTCAGTTACCCTATTTTATCGTCAAAAACGCCGTAATATTAATTGAGCATATTTTTCGAACGCTGGTTAATAGATATGAACAACACTGTTTTTAACGTAGATGGTAGACATTTAATTCAGTCGCGTCCGGGTACGTTTGGACAATTATACGCCACAACGTATGCTTGTAAGATCCGCTTCTCCCCAAGATAAGTAACGTGAACAGTGTCCTTCACCAGGACTCGTGTCGGCCGCCTGGTATACGTCCGCAAAATTGATTCACAGGGGGATAACTTGGGTAATCTTTTAACTGATGCAGCACTCATTATGGTAACTGAGACCCCGGTAACAACTTCCATTATAACCAGCTGGTCGTTTATTTCCATTTACACATTGTAGAGTGGGTAAATGCTACAGTTGCTCGAAGTCGCGTTCCAAATCGTGTTCAGCTGGCCATCTTCGTCTGAAAATTAGACGACCTTCACGAACTTCTAGGGAAAATGTGATGTCGCAACTGTGCGGGCTTCAGATCGGCAAACTCGGGATAAGTGCCCAAATTCTCCAAATGCGCGGCAAATATTATGTGTTTGACGGCATTCCTCGGCCGATAAATGCTGACTTTTACATCGGCAACTGGTAAAAAGCAATGCGGACCGTCTCGGGGTAACATGTTTTCAGTCGACTGCTTGGATTGTGTCTGTATGAGGTTACGGTGAAAAAGCTACGAACTGTTTATGGACATTCTCCAGCTGCCGAAGAGTATTGCAAACTTTCTCCCAGCTCATCGTCATCTCCTTCTGACAACAGTCTTTCACGAGACTGTTCATTACGGATAGCGGATATCAAGCAATGTAAAGTCATCGCCCCTATAAACTTCGTGGCTGGGATTTCACTCAAGACACTCTGGTAGGACATGCTGAATCGGCGCAATGAACTCAATGACACTTTTTTCAAGGTTTTGACGCAAGATCGAGAAAGAATATCGCGTAGTGTGTGTTCAGACAAGAACCCCATAATCCGCTGAGGACTTCTAGCGTGCTGTTGACTGTCACTTTCTCACCGACATGGAGGGCATCAAAATGTCATTGGCTATTATGCCCAGAATTTGTCTGAATAATTCAATTTTGTGGCTCTGAGAGTACAGTATTTGGTGGAAAGAAGGGTAGTGGTTCCAAATAATCCAAAAAAGTGCGCTAGCAGCGGTTTCAGGTAGTCGGTGTTAGTTTCTCAGAAGGAATATTCCAAAGCAGTGTAGGAAAGTGCAACAAAACGTTAAGTATGGCCCTTAGCCAATTGACGGGACAAAGCGCAGGCGTAGAATGGAACAGCTTTTATGAAAGCTTCCTACATTACGGTGGCTAGCAATGCCGAAATGGAAAACCAATGAAATAAGGAAGGTAAGACAAGGTTATTGTCAACCAATCATGTGATCGCCTGTGTTCACCAATCAATACTTAACTGCAAACGTGATAGGCTCCATATGGAATAAGCTGCCAAAACAGAATAGATGTATTGAACATTTGTGCATGTACAAGAAAATGCAAATGTCGACTGACAGAATGCAATGCATCTTAAGAATGCAACTTGATGATGAAAAGCTGTATGAAGAATGGCCGGATCATGTACGATACCGAAGTACATCGGCTAAAAACATGTTCAACAAGTGCACCAGCGCAATCTTGATCATCTAGTTTGAGCTGCTACAACCGTCTCACATGCCATTTTGTAACGTAACCTCTTATGCTGTTTCACTACACTCAAACTTATTTACTACCAACTGTCTTTTGATCTAAAACCGAGAGCAAAATTATTCACTGATATGAGACCAGAGACTATCTTTGTAATCTCCCTCAAATTGACCAATGTGTAATATGTTCAGCGATTCTCTTCGCTACATTTGTTCTGTAATGCTAACCATTTCCCCTTCTTTTCCGGAATTCAGCAACACATCGGATTTCCATGATTGGAGATATCGCATTCCCTATGGTACGAATACCTGCTACTAATAATGACTCCGAAAACTCGTTTCAATACCATTTATCCATGGGTAATTCGTGCAGTTACCTGTCTTCGGCTGTCACGCCGCGCAATTTGATCGTATGATCCCTTCGATCCATTTTGCGCTGTTGTAAAATATGGTAGCCGCTTACTTTGGGCAGTAACGATATTATAGTTGTAGTATACAATTTTTCTTATTGTACGCGCTTACTTATGTTATTGTTGGTCAAGGCTAAGCTGATCTCCTGAAGTGACGGATTGAAGCTTCCGAACTTTAAAAAACTATACCCATGCAAGGCACACTGCAACCGACTGACTGGCACACTGACTGGCACAGCGCCAGAAAGGGTATGGAAGCGCGGGTGAAATCTTTCGATGAAATACCTTGCATAGAAGCAAGTACCCTTGGGACGGTTTCACGGATCACGGTATTACATTACTTGAACATTTGCTTAAATCTGTAGTAGTTTTTGTTCCCAGCTTTTGAATTTCTATAATACCTTAAACCGACCAATTATTTTAATATCCGTTTTGTATAAAGCGTGAACAATTACTAAGTTTGTGTCATCCTGCCGTACACATTGATCAGACTACATAGCTGTACTGTGCCTCGCACCGCCGAGGAATATATCAGTTATTTATCCATTATTTATTAGTTAGTTCAACAGGTCCACAGGTCAACAGCGAGAGACAGAACAAGCAGTACATATCGAAAAAACATGAATAAAACGAGATTACTTCCATCGAGCATGCCAGTTTTTGTAAGACCACTGCGACTGATCATTATATGAACAACTGCTCAAAAGTTTGTTTCGTAGAGAAAGGTACAGCCTACACTAATAATCTGTAAGCTAAAAGATCGCACTAGAATTTTGTGAAGATAGTCTGAGGGCCAAGTTGATCAATAGCGAACGGGATTCAACTGAAATATGAACTTAGAAATGTCTTCAACTCTCGGGAGGAAAAATTGACTAGCATAGCGTAGTGGTACCTTGTCGGGGGCGTGGTTTCGAATCAAGGAACAAATTCGTGTTATCTGGCTCTGACGAGGAGTACAAAGCATACAATATGCAGCGAAATCTATGCAACGCGTGACCAGGTGTCTATACCGAGTTCGACAGGTACCTCCTCCGCTGAACTTGACAGCCTGGATTGCAGCACTGAAGATGTACGCAAGCTGCTGGCAAGTTTTGACTGGCAAAAGTCTGCCGTGCCAGATGTAATACGCCCACTGATCCTCAAGCCCCTATCGGCCATCATCTTGCCTTCTGTAACTAACCACTAACCACTGGTTTATTACCGAGCAACTGGAAATGTTCTGTCGGAAAGCCAATACCGAAAGGTGGCGACCCAAACAAAGTGGATAATAACCGGCCGATGTGCCTGACCGTTGTTTCGGTAATGAAGTTTGAGAAGATCGTGAAGAAGCGTCTTCTGCAGTTTCTAGAGTCGGAAAGACTCTTTGACACCCGCACAGCATGGTTTCGTGAAAGATCGCTCGTGCATCACCAACCTATTGTTATCGAGGCACAAATGCTTACAAGCGCTAAACCATGGCAATGTCATTTACACTGATGTCGATGTCATTTACACTGAATTCAGCAAGACCTTTGACAAGGTGAATCATGAAGTGCTCCTTGACAAGCTGAGTGTGTGCGGTGTTGGCGCCTAGATATACCGATGGATCAGGAATCGCCTTGTTGGTCGAAAATGGAGGGTCCAAATCGACAACCATTTGGCCGGCTGGTATCCAACAAGCAGTAGCGTGCCCCAAGGCACTGTACAGGGGCTCATTTTGTTCCTGATCTATGTGCCTTAGCTACTCCGTTCCACTTGTCCGTTGTTTGCAGATGACTTAAAGGTGTGGAGAGTAAACCGCGCACCCAGTGACTGTGACCTGCTGCAGTAGGACCTCGACCGCCTCTCCACATGGTCTGCAGTGGTCAAGCTTCCGATCGACCCCGTCAAGTCGCAATTCATGAGGTTGGGTAAGCGTGACCACAGTCGAAGCCACACTGTGGCCGGTCAATCGTTGCATCCCGCGCCTTCCGTGCGAGACCTCGGTGTCTGCTCACGCTACGACTTAAAGTTCAAGGACAACACGAATAGACACTACCAAAACGGCCTTCGTGTGCTTTGGGCGCTCAGGCGCAGCTTCAGCACTTAGTCCGAAGAGATTGCCACTAGTCTCTTCGTATCAATAATACAAGCAATGCTAGAGTATGGCTCGCCCGCGTATTATCTTATCACTCGAGGCGAGGTGGAAAAGATTGAGCGAGTGCAACATGTAGCCACCAGGCTGATTCCCAATTTACGAGGTGTGCCGTACGAAGACCGGTGTAAGAAACTAGGGCTTTACACCCACGCTTACCTCGACTGTGGGCTGACCTCATCACGACGCACGGAATATTACATCTCAGTGAATATGCCATGTTAATGACGCTGCTGCATCCGCGCGCATCAAGCAGCCTACGAGGACATCGGTAGAAGCTTGTTGTGCCGGATTTGAAGCGGGTCGCCCACCAAATCTGTTTCAAACGCAGAATGGTGGACGTATGGAATCACCTGCCGCAGCACATAGTTGAAGCAAAGGTGTCGAAATTTAAGAAATTCCTGGACAAACACTTTGCCGATAAGAAATATCTCGAGCGCACTACAACATAACGGGTCTTTGTCTCTGAGAGACATTATATGCAGCTACACAGAGATATCACTTCTTGCTGCGTCCAACCAGTAACCAGTAGACGTTGAGGTGTTTAACATCATGGTGATGAGCGGAGATAGAGCAGACAAGGCGATGCATCAGACTGGTAGAAGTGCATTTGATACAAAATAGATTTCACATCTGTACAAGCAATGATGCGTTCAGTTGGTCGGCTCCGTTGCAAAAGAAGGGTCATGGCGCCGAAGTATTTTGTGCATTTGAGTGTACAATGAGCTAGGCTCATGCAGCTTGGAGATGAGCTCATCTTGCTCCAAACCGGCCGATTCATCTTCCAAAGCCATCTCTTCCAATGCAGCCCGCTTTCGTCGCCGTTCAGCGTCAATCGCTTGCACAGACTATAAATGGTTAAAAAAGCGTTCGGACAGTGGAGATATAATGAATTTTATAAAATCAGGTGGCGAATAGCATTGAAAAGAGGCACATTGTGGTCGAGTTTCGAAAGAAAACAATACTGTGGAACATTCAGGTGGAAAAGGTTAAGACAGTCGGATGGGGAAAAATAATGGTGAGAAATTGCAGCGGGAAATGATATAATTTGTACCAAAGGCATATGCATGTCACACAGCACCTAGACCCTAGTTATACGTCGATATCTATGGAAATGATTGGAATATGCCTCCTTTGGGTAAAAACCGTAAGCTATAAGTCAGGTCGAATAGGCATAATAAGAGCGTCAATGAGCCCGGAGGAGATTCCTTGTGTGACCATATTTAGACATAAACAAGCGCATATTTGGGATACGACGGTAGAGCGCTACAAACATTTGCGCGGCCTAGTTCGTGTTGGAACGAAACGCGCAGCTGACTGCAGCCGTAGACGTTGCCACCTTTAGATTCTTGTTTTATTTTACTACTCCTGAATTGTAAGTAGTTTGAACGTCGTAGTATGTTTATTGAGAAACCTGACGCCGGCTGAATAACTGACATCCATGCCCGGCAATGACTAAATCATTTGAATTGACATTTTTCGGGTGAGTGCAGAGTAAACGAGGAAAAAGATCCGGTTACTAACCTCAATCAGATCGGATTTGAGATCTTTTTTAGTTGCGTCAGGCTCAATGGCAGCGGAAGCGGAAGTCGGTACGGACACGGCGGATTTCATCGGACCAGAGACCAACTGTAAGCGAAGACCTAAGCCGTGCGTAACGGACTCAGAAACGTGGATGCTGACAGTTACGTGGTCGAACAGTCTGTAACGTTGCACGGCATTGGAGCGAGTATCGCGCACTTCCAGGTGCCCGCAATCCCTACCCTCGGTAGGATGCACGCGAACAACCTATGAAGCAAATGGGAATACAATGATTCACGCGTGGGCTATTTGATGGAAGAATGTGATAAAGTAAAATAAAGAGCACACGTAGATAAAATTGGTTTTGAGTTCGGAAAAGGAACATATATTAGAAAAGTAGTGGTCACTGGCAGAAAAAAATCATAACCACTTCATGCATTAAAGTTGCAAGCACAAAAATGTTTTGCAACCGGCCAAGGTAGAAAAAACAAACGTCCAAAAGCGGTAATAACATGTAACACACAGAGACTAAGCGCAAAGTTAGGGAAAAACCGGTGGCTGGTGTCCGTTCCCAATCCGAGATGATTCTTGTAACTACCAAAGATTTTTTTAATTTTTATATTCACAGTCTGTTAACAGACATTGTGCCATCAGTACCATGGCAGAAAAATATAGAGAAAATAGAAACAAGAAATGCGATAAAAAATGAAAAACCATTTTTTTGGTTTTAGACGCGCCATTTTGATTCCCGTTTTGTTTATATTTCGTGACTTGTTGTGTGCATTAAAGGGGGATAAAATGGTAGAACAACATTGACGCCACTAATGTCTGTTGCAGGCCATGACATTCAATGTTTCCAACGACTGAGATTCAGCATCGCGTGGTCCCCAACCTGGAAGACGGACTGGTCCGACTGCCGCCAAACTTGAGATTGCCTTCTTCATGTTCCTTCTCCACGTCATTGGCTGTCCGCCGCGGCACTTTTCCACTTTTCCCTCCCTGGGAGTGCAAATAGCGCTCGACCTGGAAGGCGATGAGCTGGCTGCACTAAACGTGTCTAAGCCAAGGCACGCGATGTCGGAGAATAACGTTCTGAAAACTGGCACTAATTCCAAGCACTGGGTCTCGGACCTCTGCGTTGCTTACGTGATGTTGTCACCACACCCGAGCAATCCTTCGTAGACAGCGATTGTCGAAGACTGACAGCGCTTCGTGTATTACGAGCGAATAGGCCAAGTATCACAGTCGTACAAGAGTACTGCACGGACGGAAGCATTGTATACCCTGCCCTTGAGCTTGAGATTGACAGCACGACGACGCCATAGGTGTATCAGTTTGATGAATGTAAGGTGGGCCTTTGCAATCCGTTGTGAGACTAAATCCCCAACACCGCCACCAGCCGTGATGCAACTCCCTAGATAAGTAAAGCAAGGAACTTGCTCCAGAACATGTCCAGCAATGATGAGCGCGGATTCAGGCACCTGCCAGTCCTGGAGCAGCATTTTACATTTTCCCGGAGTGAAGCATAAACCGTACTTAAACGCCTCCATCGCTAGGCGGTCCAAAGCGCTCTGGACGGTTTGTGGGTCGTCGCCCAACAAGGCGATATTATCGGCGTAGTACAAGTCCGTGACTCTGTCTCCAGGGAGGAGCTCAACAAAGCAGCTCTGGACACCTTCCAGTGCTCCTTGGACGGCATCGTCGATGGCAAAATTGAAGTGGAAAGGTGAAATAGGGCAATCTTGGCTAATACCGCTGGTCACAGCAAACGAAGAAGAGAGCGCGCCCCAAGTGTGACTGTAAAGCTCTTTCAGGATGGTTACAAACTTGTCGGGCACATCTTTCTTCAGTAAATAGTTCCACAACGCAGATCTATCTACTGAATCAAATGCTGCACGGATATCCAATGACCCTACGATTGTTGGCCGTCGGTGGATGTGACTGAGTTCGAGAAGTTGGCGGAGCGTGAAGATTTGGTCGATGCAGCAGCGGTCTGGACGAAATTCGGCTTGTTCTTCTCGGGAAAACTTCTCTATAGTCGTTAAAAACCTGGAAAGTAGGACCGACACGAAGATTTTAGATCAGAGAGAAATTAACGAGATTCCGCGGTAGTTACAGAAGTCGTCGCGTGAGCCTTTCTTGTGAATGGGAACAATGATCTATCCTCCCCATGAGTTCGAAAACTTCTCTTCAGTCCAAACTTTCGTGAACAGCGATAGGATTTCGCTGACAAGTACACTCCCGCCATCTTTGAACAGAGTCAGTGGTAGGCTGTCGAGAGTAGGAGTCTTGTGGCGTTTCAAAGATTGGGTTGCATCTCGGATCGCTGATTCGATTGGGGGGCCTGTGGATGCAGGCCAAGCATCATCCGTTGGGGCTGGAGGTGCCACAGGGGGCTGTGTTGAGTGGTTGAATTGAAGAGCGAAATGCCCATCAACCCAATCTTCTGTGAAGGTTGGTGATCTTTGTGCTGTCTGATTCGCAAATCGTCTGGCTGATAGCATGGGAATTGCAACCGGTGGCCCTGATGATGCAAAAGAGACGGCGGAAGTTGCTGGCCGATGCAGCGGCTTCCATTTCATCAGCTTGTTTTGAACACCAGGATTCACGATCAGAGCGAAGGGTTGCTTTCAGCTATTGCGTACTAGACCGGCGGTGATCGTTTTGCTCTGTGCCAGCGGGCACCGCCCGTCGGCGATCCAGTAATTCCGAGGATCTTCCCGAGATTCAGCTTTTGGGAGTGGAGCGAGCGAGGCCACAGCTGGACAAACTGTCCGACAGTATGGCTTGTTGCAGACTTGACCAGTGTTGATCAACATCCAGAGTAGTAGAGAGAGATTTTCACGAAGGCTTTGTTGATACTCCTTCTTCCCCATTGGGTCCTCCAACTTGTAAGTGTTCAGTCGGGTGTGGTTTGACCTAGGCGAACCACCGAAACGCATGCAAACGGTTGCACACACCAGTCCATGATCGACATCGACGCATGTTGACCAAAATAATCGGCAGCCGCGTCCGCTAGCCCGTCACCTGCGATTTATGGCTATGTGGTCAATCAGCGACCAGCGCTGGGTTGATGATGGGGGGTGCCAAGTGGCGTACTGGCGTCCAGGATGACGAAAGCTGGTGCTGGAGAGGAATAGCTGATGATCAGCACACAGATTAAGCAGTCTCTCTCCGTTGTCTGAGCGAACATCATCATATCCATGCGGTCCCCCGAGGTGGCGCTCACATGGCAGCAGCCGACCGACACGCGCGTTGAAGTCACCTGCCAAAACAATGTCGGTTTTAGAAGCCCTTAGGAGCAGTTCATGTTCTTATAGAACTGGTCCTTGACTGTGCTTGAGTTACAGTCAGTGGACGCGTAGGCAGAGATCATGAAGAGAGCACGCTTTTTGACTCGACGTCTGCTAACTTTACAAGAGCCATGGAGCCCCATCGCACAAAGGCGACTCTTGATCGGAATCCAGTCAATCAGAGCAGTCTCGGATCTAGCACTGAGGGCGATTCCAACACCAGCTTGTCTAGATGCGGCAGACTCGGTGTCACCAGAGAGGCGGAGATGGAACCGAGTGCGTGAGTGGAGCAGTGACGCCAACTGGTAGACTGAGTTTGAGCCCTGGAGTCGCGTTTCACTCAGACAACAGATAACAATTCCAAGGGTCTCTAGTGTGTGTGCAAGTCCAGCTTGCTGATCGATCTTCAGTAATGTGCGTACGTTGAAGGCTGCAAGTTTGAACTGTGTCCCGGGTTGCATGAGCGAAGACAGGAGACTTTGGAACTGGCAGCTTTCGGTTGAGCACTGTGTGGTTTGGGTTGGCAGATATCACGAGAACAGGTTCAACGGCGTAGGTGGGGTTGATCGCCATAGAGGAATCAGGTAAAAATAGGTGTAAATGGTACAAGGGAAGAGTAGCTAAATGGTGGTGTGTGCTTGTGAAGTTGGCATAGTAACATGTGTGAATAGCATCGTAGCAGGAAGAGCGTGTGAATGGTTGTAGTTGCAAGTCCAAGGTTCGTCAGTAGGCGAGATACTACCCGGCTGCCTAGGTCGAGGTAGATAGGTTGTCATAGGGGACCACCGCCCGGAGCCTTTGGCCAAAGGGCCTAACTGTCATAGAAATAACGGTTGAGGCTATATCGTTAACGTGTTACGCAGCAAGAGTACCGGATGAAACCGAGTAAGGCATAGTAGTTAGTTCTAAACGATGTGCTATTAAAAAACTGCCGAATCACAGCAGCAACTAAAGAGTTGATGATGTCCGCGGACGGGTGAGTTTTCATGGCAAGCCAAGCCAGCAATGGAAACTGAGGAAAAAGCGTAACGACCCTTCACCTTGCGCTGCGTCGTCCACATGCACAGACGCGCGCAAACTACTAAGAAAACGTAAAAGAACAAAATAAATAAGCCGGCTGAATACTGTTGGCACTTAACAAAATAACACTTGTGCAGAAGAGCCAGTTCGCAAAGATGGACTGTTGGGTCAGTGATGCGAAGACGGAGATTGTCACACCAGCAGTGACGGCAGCTTAAGAGGCCTCAGCTCGTATGAAGACATTCATCCAGCAACTCACTTCCCTTACTAGTTCCCTACAACATATGGAGGCAAATTACCTCAAAGATAATTGACGGGATAGCCCTTGTACTGCCACTGGAATAAAATCATAGTGTAAAAAGGTCGGCGTCCTAATCCGTTCCATAACGTTCGCCAGAGCATTATGCAGCGCTTCTGACTAAAGGCAAGCAACAGCCGGTCGGATGGTGATGAATGCACAACAGCCTGTTTTAGACGCGATCCCAGTGCTTGTGTTAGCTGTGGGGCATTTACATCGGCATGACTGGACGTCGACTTTTTCAAAGGGAGGCTGTACACCTGTAAAGTTGAGTCAGTCAGCGACGTGGCAGGTGGTGAACGAGAATACAGCTTCGTTTAATACAAAACACCGCAGCGTGACTTGTGGACTCACTGAACGTCTGCAAAATACTTGCAAGCGACCAACCGCTTGGAAATGTCGAGCTAACACATTTCTGTCAGAATCAAAAGAACAACAAAGCCAACAATGCTGTGCGACAGGAAACCAAAAAGTTGATAGTATGTGAAGCCTTATTAATCACGAAGAGTCGTCCGGCTTTGTGCGCAAGGAAGCAATTGTGGCAATCCGTGTGAGTGCTTTGGTCTTGATTACGCTATTGGACTTCGTGCACCCAGTTGTTCCACTTGTGTCAATGCGTTTATGACCAGGACGTATTGCTTCTGTGACTGGGGAGAGCAACCGAAGTGTTAGCAAATTGCTAACTTTGGCTTCGCTCGTATCAGTTACGGCATCGAAATAGTACATTTGGACCACAACACTGACCACGAAACATAAAGCTCGTTAAATATGTTAGCTCAACAACGTTAAAGCCGTAAGAGCTGCTGAAAAAGGCCAACATATGGTACTATACAGATACAGTGTAAATACCCATTCCCGTAGCCTAAATTGACACGCTGATTATCG